TTACTATTATTATTATTATTATTATTATTATTATTATTATTATTATTATTATTATTATTATTATTATTATTATTATTATTATTATTATTATTATTATTATTATTTCAAAAATTGACCTAAGAAGTCTTTTCCTCCAGTGCAGAAGTCTTCAACCATTGTTTCTTCAGGAAAAGTGGACAAAGAACACTGAAATGCCTCTTTCCAGAAATCCCTAGAAAAACCATTTTCCTGTTCAGATGTCAGAAGCCTGTGCTGAAGGAACTCATGGAATCCCAGCACTTCCTCACTGTGGATTGCAAAAGAGAGTGCACCATGCAGGAAGTCAATAGGCCAGCTTTGTTGAAAAGACATTGATATCAAATCCATCTGGGCTATGAAAATCCATACTTTGGTTTTCATTGGGATCTCTTCAAATTCAGAGATATGAAGCATTGCCCTTAAAACCACCATTGATTGAATTTCTCCATGTACAACGACTAATATTAGCAGTGGCTTCCATCATGATCCTAGTAGTTTTCTCTCCTTTCACAACCATTTCAGTGATTTCGGTTGAAAAATGTACTTGTGGAAATGTTTCTATAAAATCAAAGCAGGTACCTGTGTGGGCAAACATGGGGAGCTGATTTTCTACAAATATCACCCCACTGTCATCATTAATGAAAATCACTCCAATCCACAACCGCTGAAAATAGAGCAATAGCTAAAGAACCCCTTTGTATTGTTGGTTGATGTCTGAAAATATCTGGCAAAGGAAAACTCTTTGGTCTAGGTCCCTCATTACAGGTGAGGACCCAAATGCCACCTAAGAATGCAGCAAAAAATAAAGAAGGATGTCTAAGTTATTCTTTGAATAAAATTAATTTGAGTACTTTGACCATTTCTGAATTTCTAGGAATGTCCCCAAGGATTGTTTTTCAGTTCAGACTTCAATCAAATTAAGTAATAATTTGGGATTTTTGAGTACAGTGGATTTGTATTTACTTATTGAGAAACAACAATTAACCAGTGGAACAACCTGCCTCCAGAAGTGGTGAATGCTCCAACACTGGAAGTTTTTAAGAAGAGACTGGACAGCCATTTGTCTGAAATGGTATAGGGTTTCCTGCCTGAGCAGGGGGTTGGACTAGATGACCTCCAAGGTCCCTTCCAACTTTATTATTATTATTATTATTATTATTATTANAATAATAATAATAATAATAATAATAATAATAATAATAATAATAATAATAATAATAAAGTTGGAAGGGACCTTGGAGGTTTTCTAGTCCAATCCCTTTCTCAAGCAGGAAACCCTATACTATTTCAGACAAACGGTTGTCCAGTCTCTTCTTAATCCAGTCTCTTTATGCTATTTATAACTTTGAATGATCTTTATGTTAATGTTCCCATACATTCTGAAGGTCATACTATCCAGGTTAGACCCTTTGTAATGTAACATATCCTGAAGTTAAAAACAACAACAACACTACAATTTTGATTCATTGTTTAGAGCACTAGACCCCAGTTCTTGGACAGAATCTGCATCCATATCTGACAGCTACAAGAAACTGGAAGCATGGTCAAAATATTCTACTCCATTCCTAGTAAGAAATGTGTAGGTTTTCTTAACTGTTATATGCATATATTAACCTTTGAACGTGCAAAGTCTCTGAAATACATACGTTATTTGCTTTTAAATTTAAGCTACATGAGTAGGACAATGGAAGCTCCAAGGTACAGGAAATATAGGAGATGCATGAACGATTTGTTCATTATTTTGGCTCATAAGCCAGTATCATCAATAAAGAGTAATAGCCGTCCCTTTAGTGAAGTTTACTGTTCAAAGAAAGCCTGCCATTTTTAGTTCCATCATATATTTCTCATGGGATCAAAGCCATATTGCAAAAGCATTCCTTGCTTAAGTGTATTGTATGAGGACAACTCACCTGTGAAATCTTGTAGATGCACAAGATGGTTGCCATGAAGAGACACACATCATCATTAGGTCCCACAATAACCACTACTATACTAGCCTGTACATCACACTTGTAGTTAGGGATAAACTTTCCCTGTGTGGAGAGAAGTTCCAGTGAATCATGGTAAGTCCACTTGGCTTGGAAATTGCTATTCAACACATGGAAACCCAGTGTGGCATTTGGCAAGATCATTACATTTTAATTAATTGTTTCTATAGCAAATTGCAAGGCTAGCATATGCTGGTAGTTCTGAGTTATTACACTGCAATGAGAAAATTGTCTTATAAATTACATCTTGCAATCTAAACAAATGATTGTCTCTGCATTCAACAAATTTATTTTCTGTTCCTAAAAATAAATATTTAATAATAATACAAAAGGGTAAAAATAATTATTTTTTCTTTATTCATTCCATTTATTTAGTACCTTACCTAACTCTTTATTACATGATCCCCTATAGCAATGATGGCGAACCTTTTAGAGACCGAGTGCCCAAACTGCAACCCAAAACCCACTTATGTATTGTTGGGTGCTGGGTGGGTGTGGCCCAGTGGGTGGGTGTTGCCCATTGGGTAGGTGTGGCCCATTGCGTGGGCATGGCTGTAGTGGGAATGGCAGACTGGTTGGGACTAAAAAGTTCAATCAATCAATTCCAACTTTGCGAAATCTTTTTTTTCCTGCGAGAAGTTGAAATTGATTGAGTGATTGAACCTTTTTTTTTTTTTGCACACGGCGGCGGAAGCCTAAAGCGGAAAGGTTTTATAAAACCCAGCTGAAGGCCTAAGACTGGGGCGACAGTGCACGTGCCCGCAGAGAGGGCTCTGCGTGCCAGCTGTGGCACCTGTGCCATAGGTTCGCCATCATGGCCCTATAGATTATTTCTTTCTGCTTATCTCAAAGTAGAAATTTTCTTCAAACTTTCTAGATGATTTGTCTCTTAGACAGATTTAACCATAAAATGATGTCATCTACTCTGAGGTAAGCAGATAGTAAACAGATGTCATCACTCTTTTGAGTCCTATAGAATCTTGAATTTAATCCTTCTTTTTTATTAGACCATATGTAGTTCTTTGCCTTTTTATACTAATCACTTATAAAAAGTATTGGAATGAATTGAAAAATAAAATTCAGTTTGGATAATATGTTTATTTCAATGGCAAAAACCAAGACAATTCAGTTGTTCTCTTCCCCCTTTCCTATCCCCAAAAAATGAATCTGGAGAAATCTACTGTGACTGTATTAAGAATAGGAGCAATTCTTTGTTCCCACCTTCTTAATTATCATTTCAGAGAAGCTGACATATTTTGTAATGGACTGAATATGTAAATATTAAAGCTATGAATTTCACTTCCTCAACGCAGGTAGAGTGAAGACTATCAAATGATTAAATTTCTCCCATCTTTAACAAGTCTTTTAAGTAAAGTCTCAAATATGAATCCCTTTGCAAAAACCTCTGAGCTCAAAAGAGCCAAGGAATTTGAAAACTCCAAAGAATAGCATGCTGGTTCAAATAGGGATGCTTGGTTGCAAAACAAACAAAAAACCAAAAATCATAGCATTAGATAAATTCTCACTAAATATTAAATCCTACTAAATACTCCCTTTAAGTTATTAATATCTTAAAAGTCAGTATCAATTTTGCCTTAACATGGTAGTACAGTGAATTAGAATGAAGATTACAAATAGCTTTAACTGTGCTAATAACTAAAAAAAAAGAAATACAATTTTATTTATATTTCAGTGAATAGATTCAGAAATATTTATCTCTGAAAACTGAAAAAAAATCAAAGCCTTATTTCAATAAATCATTTTTCTGTTAGGTTTAACAAGCATCTGAAAAGGAACTGAATGAGCCCTTTTAGTGTGATCCCTTTTGAACTCTGGATTTTTGTTTGAAGAGGAAGTTTTGGGACAATTTAGTTAGATTTGTTATCATCTTTATAATAGGCATACAATTCAAACAATAATGCAATAGTGTCCCCCCCCCCCATCCAGAGAAACTAACATGACTTGAGCATTAGAAAAGAGCTTGCAGGAATGCAATGTGGTGGCATCTCAGGAGAAAACATGAAAGGCCTTACATGATATTATCAGACACGTCAAAAGCGTGATTTCTTTCAAAAGTTGCTGGAATGGAAAACACAATGGTTAAGTCACCAGAATGGTAATGCTTGTGAAGAATAGAAAGAGGGAGGCTTATAGGGCATTTCACAGGGAAACTGCTACAGACTTCTTCACATACCAGTATCACCAATATTGATGTCAGAAACATCACCATCTTGAATGAAGACCTTTCTGCAAGATCTCCTGTCACACATTCCTTCTTGTTAACTAAGATATGTTGGCTTGAAAAAGCTTGTGGTATGTCTGGCTTTAAGAATAAATATAATCAAACAGCTTTTGTATTTTATTCTATAATCTAATAAATTATACATTTTTAAAAAAAAAAGCCACTGTCCTAGGCAAAACCCAGAGATTCAGCAGTAAAGATGGCACCCCAAAATCAGCTGATGAGAGAATGCCAGAGACAACAGCAGACATGGGAGGGAATCAAGCAGAGAAAATACAATGACAAGTTAAAACCCTACATATGATGTATCATAAAGAGATAGGTGAGGTGGCTGACACTGGGAAATCCTATCAGTGGCTGGAAAGAGCTTGACTAAAAGACATCACTAAGGCATTCATCATAGCAGCACAAGACCCAAGATACAGACTGTGCAGAGTCCAACACATAGTGGCAGATGTAAGATGCAGGCAGGAACAGCATATTCTAAATAGCATAATCAAGTAGCTGACCTTGTGTGCAGGAATATCTGTACAATATATGGGCTAGTCCCTCCCAAGACCATAAAAGACACTCTACAGTGGGTTATGGAGAATAATCGGGCTAAGAACCTGTTGGACTTCCAGATCCAGATAGAATGGTAGGTTTTAGCTAATCAACTAGAGATCATGGAAATGAAAAGGAGAAAAAGACAGAGGTAGTGATAGATGTAATAGCACAAAAGACAGCAGTATCAGGAAGAAGTATGAGAAGCTGAAAAACTACTAGGGCCTGAAGGAGCATGACAGACAATGTGGAAAGTGAAAGGCAAAGTACCCAGTGGTGGTAGGAATACTAAGGACTGTGACTCTTGTGATCACACACAGATATAGATACACATACATCTCTAGCTGGCTGACAAATCGTACTCAACAAGGACAATCAACCAGTGGAACAGCTTGCCTCCAGAAATTGTGGGCACTCCATCACTGGAATTTTTTAAGAAGAGACTGGACAATCACCTGTCTGAAATGGTATAGGTTCTCCTGCTTGAGCAGGGGGCTGGACTAGAAGACCTCCAGGGTCCTTTCCAGCTCTATTCTATTCTATTCTATTCTATTCTATTCTATTCTATTCTATTCTATTCTATTCTATTCTATTCTATTAACACAAACATATCAAATACCTGGCTAAAGCTTTATTTACTAATTCAGAAGGATTAGGGGTCATCCAACTTTACATTCATGTGTAGTTTTTTAGGCTTAGCTTTTGTTTCTTGTTTAGATCAGATCTCCAGATAATGATAAAACATTTGGGGAAAAAGATGCAAATCAGTATCCCAACACTGGAGGCTATGATAGAGAAAATCTCCACAGCAACCATATATTTTCCCTTGGTGCTCAGGTATGTTGGAACAAAGGACAACCAGACAGTGCAGAAGACCAACATGCTGAAAGTGATAAACTTGGCTTCATTGAAAGCATCAGGCAATTTCCTTGCTAGGAAAGCCAGTGTGAAGCTAATAAAGGCAAGGAAACCCAGGTAGCCCAAGACACAGTAGAACATGTAGTTGGATCCTTCATTGCACTCCAGAACTATTTCTTCTGCCATTGAACTCATGTTAGCATCAGGGAATGGGGGAGATGTTATCAGCCACACAGTGCATATAATCCCTTGAACAAAGGAGCAGCCAAATACTACAGACATGGCAAGTTTTCCCCCCACCCACTTGATGATCTTGGTCCCAGGCTTGGTGGCCATAAAAGCCAGAACCACAATGATAGTTTTGGCTAAAATACAAGACATGGCCACTGAGAAGACAACTCCAAAAGCTGTTTGACGAAGGACACATGTCATCTTGGATGGTTGACCAATAAATAGCAAAGCACAAAGAAAAGATAATAAGAGAGCAACAAGGAGAATGTAGGTCAGATTCTGGTTATTGGCTTTAACTAGAGGAGTATCCTGATGTTTAATAAAAATCCAGAAGATTACAGCTGTAATGAAAGAACAGAAAATAGCACAGCTGGCTAAAATGGTTCCTAAAAGTTCTCCATACATCAAAAATGTTAATGCTTTTGGGAGACACAGATCTTGGCTATTGTTTGAGTACTGATCTTCTGAACAATGAAAACAGTCATCTATATCTGGAAAAGAAATGATTAGTTTAGGAGGTTCTGAAATCTTTTCAGATGTGAACGACAGTCATCAAATGATAATTATTAAGTTAGAATTTGAAAACCAAATAATGTTCTATAATTTGCATAAAAGTCTATAATCAGAAATTATTAATAAGGCAGGACATATGTTGCATTTCAAGTAAATGGAATTCCTAAATAACCCTGAATATGTTTCTACAAAACAAAATAAAACAAAACAAAATTATTGTATTTGCTTTTTGTATATCAAAAAGTAGTCATGATGCATCCATGGTTTGTGAACTGGGAGTATTTGGAGCTGGAATTTCTAACTGGAATTTTATTTTCTAATTTGTTTGTGTAGCTTTCTAGCTTGAAGTCTCACTTGGACTGTTGAAAATCACACAGGCACACAAAAATCACTAATTGACAACTGGAGTTCATGGAGACAGAGCCTAGAATTAGTACTACTGCAAATGATAGCAGTGTTCCAATATCTCAGGGGTTGCCACAAAGAAGAGGGAGTGAAGCTATTCTCCAAAGCGCCTGAAGGCAGGACAAGAAGCAACAGATGGAAACTAACCAAAGAGAGAAGCAACCTAGAACTAAGGAGAAACTTCCTGACAGTTAGAACAATTAATCAGTGGAACAACCTGCCTCCAGAAGTTGTGAATGCTTCTTTCTGGCAACCCCTGTAAGCTGTTCTGAGTAAAGCTGTTTTGACTAAAGTTGCCTTTGCAATTGACCATTGGTGTTTTTGTCAATGGTGTTTAAGTGGTGCTCCAGTTGTTTTGGGATTGCACACAAGTCACCTATTATTATTGGTATATACAGTATATTATATAGTCACCTATTTTCCTGGTAAGCAGAATCTATTAATATCATCTCATGGATGGAGGGAATGATGCATTGCTAGTATTTTTGTGGTCTTCCTATTCAGGACTTTTAATTCTGTTTAAGTCCAGTTCACTATTCTAGCTGTATATGTGATTGGGTTCTTGTGAGTCTTTGAGCTTTCTTCTGTTCCTGCAGACATTTCATTACCAAGCTGAGTAGCATTATCACTCCATGGGAGATAAAGTTTATTGATTGCTTCTAGAGTAAATATGTGGTTTACAGCTCCCCATGCATTGACAATGTTACCTAGCTTGGTAATGAAACATCTGCATCAGACAACCCATCAGAGATTCTATTTCTGTTTTTTTTAATACCATGATATTCCTTGATGAATTAAAACATCAAGATCATCATCTATTTTTGGATAATAAGAGAAGAAATGCCTTTGAGTATTACTGTCAGCAGTTCTTTCAGCTTTCTATATAGCATCTCTTACCTTCCTGGTTAGCAATCTTCCCATCAGGACATCGAAGACAATCATAGCAGCAAAATGGCTTTGATTCAATCTTTTTCTTACTGTATCCTGGGCGGCACTTGTTATTACATAGAGAAAGTGGCTGGATCTGTCCATTAAGAAAAGAGAGAATGCTTTTGATTGTACCTACATTTTTTATTTCCATCTTGATTTATTTGTTACGCTTTCTTGTGGCAAACCAGAAATACAGGCTCCCTCCTAGGACCTCAGCAACAAGATCAGAGTCATGCCCAAATAACCTTCCTCATTTACATAATCCAATCAGATATTTCTGTACTAAAAGAAGTCCCCCTTAATTTGGTCACTCACTAGATAAAAGAAAAATTATAATGAGGACTCAGGCTTTGCAAGCACTTAGCAGCAGACCCACTAAGGAAATTGCAACAGTGGAGTTGGGTGAAAATTCAGAGACCTTCCAGTTTTAGATTAAGAATATGGACCTAAATCTACTATCATTCATTAGCATGGACAGACCATTTCCAAACACTGGTTTCTCCTTAGCAATAGCTTTCCTGCCCCCATAAAATAAAAATAATTTGATCCACCCTCTGTGGTCCTGGATAACCACCAGCAAATCAGAGCCCAACAATTTCCTGCTCCCCAAGTCACAACTCCTATCAAAGTCTTTACCCTTCTTTTGTTCCTGTTCCCATTGCTCTTATGAACTGGAACCAAATGATCATGGCTTGTAATAAGGTGTGATCTTTTCCTTCAATGTTTTGCTAAGCCTTTGAATGTACACTACTTTATATTGCCACAATCAGAGTAGCTTCTAGTGGTTTGCAATGAAAATATCTACTAAGTACAGGTAGTCCTTATTTTATTGAGCCCAACATTTATAAACTAAATATAGGATAATAAACTAAAATCAGGAAAACAAGACAGGAAAAAAACATAGTATAAATCACTATGAAAGATTTCATTTAAAATGTCCCAAAACATTCTGGGACAGGATGTTCTACACATTGGGAACCACTATAGAAAACAGTCTCTCTGTATTCCTCTGACATAACAGATTGGAAAAAATATTTTTGTGTCTTTTTATTCCATTGTTTTCCCTTATTTGGAACAAAACATTTTGTAAAAGTGGCAGAATAATCTTTAGATGCTTGACTATGATACTCCACGTCAGTAACTTATTTTAATATGTCAGAGTTGCCATATATAAAAGGAAAAACAAGCAGATATAAATGGATATTGTTGAACTCCTAGTGAGCTTTCTATTATCTCTTAAGACTTTGTGTAATCTTTGTGAAATTATTTTATCTGTTAAACTGTTTAACCTTTAGAATAAAAAGTTATTCTAAACTTTTTAATTATCTTTATTCCTTGGTATTTGATCTTTGGACAACACATACAAATTATGTATGTGACTTATGGAATCCCAAGCTATCTTTTTACCAAATTCACATATGCCACCATGCTTTTTCATATATTCACATCTCTCCATATACACAATGACTCCTGACCTAGGCAATATATGGGAGTAGAAAAAAGCCTTGGAGGGTTTTATTTCTGAATGTAAATGGAAGGTGGGATGTT